CAATGACAGTCAGCTACGAGATGATGGACATCCTCCCATAGTTCGTTCTGCTTATCTGATGTCGACCGGTGCTAGCGCAGCTAACAGTTTAACAATTCTACTGTTTAACCCATGAAGATGGATTAAGAGCACTTTCTTGGAGTGGTCTGCAATAGTGTTTCATCTCATCCAACTATGAAAAATCTATTGTTATCTCGTTGGGGCTTAGCATGGAAGCTGTTACGTGCCTATCTCTCACGGCCGATCTCGTTGGCCAGTATTTGTATTTGAGTCCTCTTAAAATTAATTAACTAGTTAATCTATGTTACGTTCCTGGACTGCGAATAGTTGCGGATCACACAAAAGTTCATATCAAGCTGTACAGAAGTATCATGTTCATAAATGTACGACTCAAAAAATGGAATTCATATTTCGTGTGATTTCGAGAACCGAAAGTGCAAAGAGTGGGGTTCATTTTCCATAACCAACATGATTGAGCAAGTCATATTTTACGAGGTTAGAAGACTGGACAGATCCAATTTAAGCGACTCCTTGTATTCTCCTTTTGGGACAAAAGGTGAACGTGTCTGGCTCCATCCTCTCATGACGTTCAGGCCAATCCCATCGAACAACTTCAATGTTTTTGAATGATCCATTTCTACAGTGGGTAATGAAATGCGAAAAAAGTAAGATGGCAGCATCGTCGAAAAGTGCCCGGTTTAAAAAGTGTTCTCAGTAAAAATGGAATCATAGGAATCATGTGTCAACTGCAAGCCTTGTAGGTAATACAGTTCTCTGGCAATGCAAAACATACAGAGTATGTATCCAGGACATCCCGTTAACAGGGGACCCTGAAAGGTCGAGTCAATCCAAAATGAAACAAACGGAGCTTACAAAATGCAAAATACCTTAAAAAGAAAAACAGCCAAAATGATAACAACATATTTTTAAGGTTAAAGAAAACGATAGCTAGATCTCTTGTTATGTTTTGGGACGTCATACTGCTATCCTGGCGACTAATATTTACCATGTTCAGAGTATGAAACAAGTACATAGGAGGGGTGTCAATGGATGCAGACTTGAATACCATACCTGTCGTCGTGTTTGTCATCGTGCTGGTGAAGGATGCCCCACCACGTCAATCGGAACAGGTCAATAATTGTACTGGTCAGGAGTAGTACATTTTGTGAAAAGTTAAGTGTGGGTCGTCTAAGCCACCACGGCTTCATTGATTCGGTAGACACAAGGGGGGCGGTGGTTCCATGTAACAGGTAGGTTTCATCATCAGGGCCAATGTAAGTTAAAGTTACGATCAGAAAATGCTGGATGCCCAACTGGTCGATATGGCGGGCTGCTCTGATACAGGATAATTCTTCGAGCCCATGAAAAGTTTGTGTGAAGTAGTGGCGGTGAAGAACGTAATAAAAAAGGGAACTTTTAGGGATGTAAGTAGCCTGCGACCCTTGGTATCTCCATTTCAGTATCCATGGTTAACACTGAGCTTCTATTTACTCTGGCTGCTTTGCTGTGTTGCATTTTCGAAAATAAAAGATAAGCCACCATTTTATAAGGGAATGTTACTACATAATAGCTCATATTAGCTGACGTCGGTCCCACAGCGATTTCGGGATAGGCCTTAGCGTGCTGAGCATACACAAAACTACTAGGAATGGACCGCCGTCAAGCATGATGACCGTTTCTTAGTGTGGACAATGCTGACCATCGAGCTGCATCCTAAATGCCTGGGGATTAAAAAAGTTACCGCACCACAACCCCCGCAATTACTCAACCAAGCGGAACTGTAAGCAACAGGTACAAGGAAATATCCGCGTTATAGAGTAAGGCGAAGTTCTACCGTCTTCCTAATACTGGCACGTTTTTCAACTAGTAACCTCTGGTCAGCCTCGGTAGCATAGATGGTTGGCGCCATCCGGGTGCAGATTTGCCTGCCACCGTGGCCAGCAACAGGACGCATGTGTTTACAGAAGGATCATGGGTGGCTTGTGCTGCATCACACGTAGCTCCAACCACACACCCCATATCCAGTGTGAACCCGAAGGAATAAGACCGGGAGGCAGGTGGATGGGAGCCACGTTTCATCAACGGAGCCGGCCCACACTCCTTCACAGGCAAACACATGCAGGCCGTATTTGGGGAATCAAGCGCACACAAGGTGGTGGCTTGACCTTAGTCCGCTCCACACTGAGTGCATGGCAACACTTTTCGAGCCTAGGACGACCACAAGGACCGTGCACCCCGTCCCCTCAAGCAACAACTAACTGTATCCTAGACCCAGTATGTACGAAGCAGTGGGTGATGGACAGGTAGGCACCTTGTCAACATACACATCAAGCGCAGCCACACCGGAGGTATCAAGCAACAATCAATCACTTGAAGTGAAGAGATCGAATAAAATAAACCGGATTATGCACCCAGATTTGCCGCCATAGCTCTCCAATAAATGAGCCTTTGAAGTAAATTGGTTGCCAAAATTCCGCTATGGGTTCAAGGCGTTAAAAGACATATTTTATGAAAATGCCGCAAACGGGAAAATGATATCAAAGTTAACTACAAGTAATGTAAGCTAGGTGTGCAAGTTAATAGAAGATAGCTCACGTAATATTGAGACAATATAGCAAACGCACCACTTTAAATAAAGAGGCTTAGTATGCAAACACACGGTTAGTAAATCAAATGCTGCATACCTACAAACGCTGCGCCGGTTCTGCCTACGTTCTCTGCAGGACCCGTCGTCGTTTCGGTGTTGGTGCGGAGTGGCCTCTATCATGGCTCACTAGGCATGCCTGACTCCGGCACTTGCGACAGCCTGTGCTACAGCACCATGCGCTCAATGTCGATGAAATACAACCCATCAGCGCCTGTCGCTTCCGCACTTGCCGCTTCTTCTCTTCATGCATGAGGTATTTATCCTGCAGCTTGGAAACTGCCTTCGTGATCAGATGGCGTCATGCACGCTGATCAACCGCCTTCGATTTCCATGACCTGCAATCAAGATGAGAACGTGAGAAGCTGACCCTGATCATGTCCTGGTAACGAAGTTTCACTTTCCCGCATGAAGTCCCCAACACTCCGCCGACCATATAATAGCTGCTTCGGTATCCGTGTGAAATGCATACATCACACATGACCGAGTCACCTCAGGTGTCTCAGCCCATGTATGCAGTCAACTGCATACATTCCATTACGACACAACACTTCGGTATCGGCAACTCAGTCGCCCCAACCGATGCACAAAATCCGTCGCAACACTACTGATGGAACCGCTCTAGATATGGCACATCCCACCGGTACATCGTCCACGTTTCACTATCATATAGAAGGACGGACGGCACCATGAATTTGTACATCATCAGCTTGTTGCTAACGGTAAGCTGCTGGTTGTTCCACACTCGGTACTCAAGTTTCCCGAATACCGCCGCTGCCTTTGAGACGCGAATACGAAGCTCACAGTGTAGCTGCTTGTCAGTGAATATCACACACCCAAGGTAGCAGAAGCGGGAGATGATTTCCAGTAGTTCAGAACCCATACAGATTCGCTCCACCATTGCAGATTGCACCTCCGTGAAGGCTGAAAGATGCAGATAGTTGTGCCGGTGTTGATGGTGAGCCCGAATTTGGCCGCTTTCGAAGCCAGAGCACTAGTCACGTGCAGTAACTCATCCACGCTCTGTGCAAGCAACGCACATTCGTCAGCAAACAGCAACCTACGGATAGTTGTCTCACAGAGTAGGGTTCTCGCACCGAAACGACGGATGTTCAGCTACCCACCATCAATACGGTACTCCACACGGACACCGTAAGCACAAGTGGCATCAAAAGCACAAGACATCATGGCATGAAGTTAAATGTTAAACAGGGCAGGAGCTAAGACGCAGCCTTACTTCACAGCAGGAACAACCGCAAAGTCATCCGGGGTTTGTCCACTCAGCTGCACCCTCGTTGGCATATCAATGCGTATACATTCAATTAAACACAAAAACATACTCGGGTAACCAAACTTATCCAACACCAGCCACAATGCCTTGCGGTCCACCGTATCAAATGCTTTGGTGCAATTAACAAACAGCCTACATGGGTGCTTGTCTCTATGAACATTATTGACTAAACTCAAAGCTCTCCAAATTTTATCACGCGGTGCTTTCTATCTGACAATGGAAATTTTGTTGTAACAGAGTATCCCGGAACTTGAATGCTCAATGCATTAACCGTTTTAAATTCATTTCACATACAATTATTCCAAATTTTTCAGCCCCAGTAACTTCTTATCACCAACAATTCCGAATTTTGCAACTTTGAGAAACATTTGGAATGGTGATGTCAGAACTTAGTTTCGCTCATTTCCACGAAATGACTGATTGACTAATTTTGGTTAATCCATTGGATGGTTGAGAGTTGGGAGCTTTAGACATCCTTGTTGAGCCGTTTTCATTACTGTTCCGACACTCAGCCGTAACTAGCAGTGATGTTCCTGAATCAAGTAGATTCCCAAGATGGTTGTACGATTAATTCACTAATATGACAAAGTCACCTTTTGTCCTGTGATAAAATCCATCTGCTATTTGTTAACTTGCAGTCGACTGGCTACCCAAGTTGCTGAAAGTGGATCGCTTGTGTGGTCAGAGATTTAACCAGTGTGCACAGTAGCAAATCGATGCACGTACCCGGTGTACATTACAGAGATGACTGAACTATTCGACTCTCCTATCCTCATCGCATTTTGTGTACCCAACGGCTGCAGTAGAATGTCAACTCCAGCATCTCAGCATGAGGTCACAATAGTCTTAGCCCCATCCGCTTGTCTGGAATGACAAGGTAGGCCGTTATACCTTAGGTATTCATCAATGACATGTAGTGTTAGAATTGCTTGCATTTCTAATGAGAGCGATAAGGACACGTGTTCCGCATATCAGCGCCGTCAAATCGGTGCCTCGTATGGTTGGTTGCATAAATTACTGATCTTACACGCATCACGTGCAGCATTTTGACCATTTTATCTTCAGGGCAATCTAGAGCCTCCTCTGCGGACGTGGTGACATGCACGAAATACCAATCGCGACTTCAAGTGCGTCAACACATTCACCAGGAAAATCTACAACGGCTCGAACATATCTATGCCAATGAGGGTAAAGACAGTGGTGCATTTGCCACACCGCCCACATATGTGATTGTAGCTTCACGGGAACAGGATAATGTGCCAAAGAGTCTCCTAGTATTCGAACACCAAGGATATTCAAGAGAGGACCGCTGGAGACGAGAAACCGTGAACACTGAAACTACTGCGATGATCACCGGGAAACTAAACAAAACCGAGGAAATGATGAATGCAAGAAAGGGTATGTTGTGCTGTGGCCAAATGAGTATTTCACGTTGTCACTTTTGTATGATTAGATGAATTGGTAAGCGGAAATTTCGTATATTCTACACAAAGCAGCGGAAAAATCATATGAGGGAAGAAGATATTTTCCTACTTGTCGAATTAAAGGTGTATATGGCCTAAGGAAACCGGTGGAAATATTAAACCCCTTAATTTTGCGGTGAATTTTAGCGCTACTCTCACGGTTCATACATTGGGTGAGCTGAAGTGTGAAATAAATACCTACGATGTGAACGTGAATAGTTTAGTATAAATGATGGTAATTAAAGCTGCTGTTTCTATACGTGAATGTCCACCGTGTGAGTCAGTTCCAGAAACGCGACAATTGTTTCTAAAGGCTGATTATGTACGAACATTGATTCAAACTGATAAGATGAAACAATCTACTCAGATCTTGAGGCTGGACTTGTAACCAAAATGGTATTCTGTAATCGACAATGTCCTACACGATTAGCAGGATTGAACACTACCATTGTTCTCAGGGAGCGAATAATCCGTTGCTTATATGAGCCAAGGTGTGTTCAAAAGAAAGCAGTTGCAGTTTATTCGACAGGCTAATATTCATGCATAGTTTTGTTATCGAGTACCTAAGTTGTGTCACTGAGAAAGATGGTGTGGACAACTGTGTTCAGTCAACAGAAAGCACTTTATATCCCTAGACCATACTTTAAGCAAAAGCAAGCAGTGGCTGTGAGAAGGCCGAATCCACATTCGCTTAACCTACTTGGTCACGGCGCAAGTATTTTCTGCTCTCACGGATGCTCGAGGAGAAGATCTTACACTCCCACTCGCAACTCTGCTCAAGCTATGCATCCATACAGCTGACGATCCAAACTTGCCAACTAAAAGATTTTGCACTAGCAGTGGTCTGGAACTAGTACTTGATGGCCGACCACGCAGTAAACCGGGTGGGATATTTTTTGTCAATGTGCTTGGCATAACTGGTAAAGGTTAGACAGTCAAGAGGCTGAGTAGAGGTTCTCATTTCATATATACCTTGAATAAACTATCGCTACGTGTTCCGTCCTTATCTAGCGACGACTTAGTACTAAATGCGAGACGAAGTATGTACTCAACTTTCTAAGCAAAACCATAGGAATTTATTAGCTAAGCTTTTGGAGAAAGTCTGACCTAAACCAAATATATTCATCCTACGCGGGTCACACTGACTTGCTCGTGATGTAAATGAATCGAGAAAAGCAATCCGATTCGAGATTACGATGCGCTCCAAAGTGAACTTTGATCGCTGCGATCACTGAAATCGTAACTGAGGAAGCAGCTAAATGTGGGATGCTGCGCATTCGTAATACTGCAATCTGCAACCAGTTTCGAAAAAAATTTGATCTCATTAGATTGTGATGGCATGACTTCAGTCGAGCGCGGACATTTAGGGGCGTCCGCGAAAACTTCTATCCCTAATTTTTCATTGACGGAAGTGGGTGACTCGCCACTGCTGGGAAGTAGTAACACTTTGAGACGCTCAAGAGTGATGGATCATGAAGGAAAGCTAGTAATAGATCCGGTTACAGTCACAAATTTGCTGCTTTACTGCATTCTATCTGAAGGCGTACAGAGCATAATGTAGTAGGCCCAATTAGAGGTCACAGATGCACAGGGAACGGAGGTGAATTCCTTACGAGTGTGCCAAATTGTTTTAAAACTCCAATCACATGCTCGAACCTGCAGGTGTTTGGGATTGAACCCAAGCGATGCTGGTGTCTGCTGAACTTTCAGCTTAACTACCTTCGACCACAGCCAGTCACAAACAAGTTTCGGACATTTTGCTACGTGGTGCATAGCAAGTTACGCTGGGACAAACGGTAAACTAAGTAGCTTAGAAACATTGACTGCGCATATTTATAACAGTTTGTGCAGCGGAACCAGAAGCTGAAAGAATATCATCTGTGACGGTTATATTTGAATACTAACAAGATTTTGATACTCACCAAAAAGACAAATAGTACTTTTGTCTGACTTCGAACTACCGACCTGTCCGGTACGGGGGATACTTAAAGTGCTTGTGAATGGTAACACCTATTGTTATCATCCAAACAGTAAAGGTATCTTGAGTTTAGGCCGAAAATGTGGCATTGCATTTCGAATAGAGATTAAAAAGCTGAATATCTGCTTGGTAACGGGGAATGATAACCGATCTTGCTTCTTTCCTGGGTCTAGTAGATGATCCAAATGACGCACCGCGGGTGCGTTATTGCTTCCATTTCACTGGTGACATAGCAGGGTTGGAACATTTAACAGCGAGGTCCAATGATGTTTCCTTAGTTGACAGTTGATCTGAACATTCCACTACCGCAGGCCGCGGTATTAAATTGCGACCGAACCAACTCTGAAAGTGTGTGGGTAACGAAAAGTTTACTACAAACGGTTTCATTAAAAGCTGTCAATCTCTAGTCTTAAATTATGAGCTACTGAAGCGTTTTGTGAGAATCTTCATATCAAATTGTTAGATTTGTTTTGGGGGCTGCATTCGACCGACACTTTGAAAGCAATAAATTAGTTGATATTTGATAGATTCACCGGCATGCATACCAACTGAAGCGTTGTTGGAAGTGATGTCCCATTCTGGGTTTTAAGGACATTATATTCCGCTCTTTGTTATATCTGTACCAATATCCAAAACCTAGGGGCACGAAACAGCAAAACATTTGTATTAAACTGGCCACGTCTAGAAAAGTTAGTATTTCCATATATAACATAACCTTACTTGAAAATGCTTCATTCAGAGCAGACCAAGCCAACGATTTCGCAACAGTATCGTGATAGCATGAAGTTATGTACGACGAACAATATACCTGGTACCAGATAGCTGTTACTGTCGGACAGAATCGAGTAGATTTTCGTGAGGTCTACCTTGCGGCCAGCGTCACTACAGCAGTACGTCTAAAATCCTACGCGGATTGACAAGGACGGTTTTTAACCGTGACCCCCAAAACACATGGTTTCAACTAAGGACTCCTCATGAGATTGTACTTACTGCGCTATTGACGGAGCATGTGTCCCTACTTCAGCTGATATCAGCTATGAAGAAATCCATAGCTAATGCCTGGCGAAGTGCAATAGCTCACCGTGGTTTAACCTCCTGTATAGAGTACTATTAATAGATCTGCTGGGGTTTATTTGATTCGAATATCATTTGAGGCGAAAATTTCAGGGTGGCAAGGAGCTCTACAGCGTGATGTTTATCCACTAGATAGCGCTGTTAACTGCACATCAACTTTCAATATAAAAAACTAGCTGCTAGTAGAGGATAATTAAGGAGGAACGCGAGCAGAGACATGGGGTGAAAAGGACGATTAAGCCATATTGGTAAATCTTGGGAGCTACTTTCGTCTTTCAGAAGATGTTAGGCAAGTGTGAGGCTCCTTCTGGAGAGCCAACACATTCATCGAATAGTCACAAAGAGAATACTGTCTTCAGTAATATATGGTTCAGTAATCATCCGTTAAACTTTATGTGCCAATGAAAACTAACACATCATGTGATGAACCACGTCGACCATCGAGAGAAGATTTGATAAGTGCGCTTAAAAACCCACTATATGTCAAAGGGACACCCCCGTCGACTGGTGTTCTGATGATGAGCATAAGAATGGATTCACACTGAATTATATTCGTCCTTTTAAACTGACATTTCAAACTGTTGCTTGATTTTAGGCGTACCCTATAGGACCACACAGACAATGCAGCTTTGTCTCAAACCCCGATTTTACGACACAAGAAGCGGCGATTTAAATTCAGCGGAAGATGTCCACTGGCTTCCAACTAAAATTATATTCATTCCGTCCTAATATTGCTTAGCAATTGACTGGTGCAGCAGTCGATTCTGTGACCTTATAACAAAGGAACAGTGTTACTCGTAGCATCTTAGTTAAGCAAGTAACTGGGTTAAGGGCCAAGCATTCTTTCAAAGTGACGAATAACTGAACGCTCACACGAACTGCTCATTGGCTGGCCTTTGGTGCTATAGCGAAGAGTCAGCTCGAATAAGGATGACCTATTGGCCAACTAGTTACACCGACAACCCAGTGAAACTGATATAAACAACATTGAAAAACACAACTCATTGCCGTCTTGACGTTTCTCTGTATTTGGTTGGACTACTATACGCTTTAAAACTAGATTATTGCTATGGAAACCTCTCCTCGGAGAAGTGTGTGCGATAGCAAAGCAGTGATTCTGAGATGTAAGCCACCCACACTGTAATAAATCATGAGTTGTGACATTGTATTTCCTGTTTATTTGCTTAACTGTATGCGCAAGCAGCTCTTGCTTATTGCTAGCTAAAATAATAATTCGTCTGGTTTAATTTATTATCCGATGAATTGTGTTTGGCGGTCTCTCCCCAAAAAGTTGATCCAAGGAAACTGAAATCTATTATTCAAATGAACCAGTAATCGTAAGAAGAGATCTGATGCATTGGGATTAACTCTCAGACATGCATCGACTACGGGGGCGAGAGAACCGTAGCATTTGTTTCAGCTTTCCTGTCGCGATCTACTCAACTTCAATACATTTTCTCATTTGGCCAATGAAGTCCTACTTCCTCTGATGAATGGCCGGTGAGACAACAAGTGCGATAGCTACAACAAATTTTACACATTTGTAACTTATCAAGGTTGGCATTCACATCATTATGTGGTAGCACAAATGATTTGCGTGAACCCGCTAAGAGGTGTCTGAAGCTCCGCAATGGAGCGTTGGTTGCGAGTACGTTTACATTTGTGGAACATCCGCGGTAATTTGTGCGCGAAATACAGTGGTTCTGAATTTGTTTCATTACATACTGAAGCACTGCACTTTGAGCTTTATAATCGTAACTTGCAAATTTAGTTATATTACTTGAGGACTATTAAACCTTCACGGAGGTCGAAAGTGCTGGCTCCAGCTTGCATTGTTTGGCTGTGTGGCAAATTTGCGCTGTACATATAAAGACTGCTGAACCGTACAGTAGAACAACCGTTGATAGTGCGATTCTGTGACCCCGAGCTACTTGGTTATAGGTGTCCTCAGATACGACGGTAACTCTTCAGATTACGTTTTGACTGAAAGATTAATGGTCCACTTGAACTGCTCAATAAAACGCAAATAAGTTACAGATTCTGTACGTTGAATTTGTCTAACCTGGTACTTACGCAACATTAGAAGAGAGAATAAACATTTTCAAGATGTTTACACTGCTTGTAAAAACATTCGATGTATCACAGGGGTAGTTTGTGCAATATGCGTGACAGGTAGGAATTTTTATGTGACGGCTATCATGTTTTTAGAAATGGTAATACGTTTACCTTTTATTTATTTGGTTAACACAACCGCGTAGATGATCGTCTGCCCGCTGTTATTTGCGATAATTATGCGCAGGTACATTGTTTGCATGTATTTATTATTCAATTCCCCCTGTAGGCTAACAGGCCTATCTGTTAGTAACTGCAGCAACAGCAGTAAGCGTATGTGTTGAAACGAAAGTCACAAAATAAATTGCCCAATTTAGACATGCGGATCATGGGTGACCCATCTTGAACACAGCACTCTTGCATTCTAGGTGCATACCACTTTGTAGTCTATCTTGCGGTAAGCATGTGATACATCCTCCTTCGGTCAAACTTGATAGATGCGCCCAGATATATCCTGCAACTTTGGTGTCACCTTTTACTTGCAGCTCTACACCCTGTCCAGAACACTCCTCGTTTATGATAGATAAGATTCTAGTGGGTTCAATGGCATTCCGTACACACTGATACACACAAAGCAGTCTCAAATACGTTTCAAATTGATGAATAGGCTTTTATTCCATCATGGCTCTTCGGAAGTTGTCAGCATACCCACTGTCGATATCTTCTGGGGTAAGAGATTTTGGCTCTCCGTGCTGAAGAAGCAGCCCAACGATATGGATCTCTTAGAGAATGAGAGTGCTGACCCTACTGATACGTTCCACTTAAAAGACGTGGGCATATTTTATTTGTAAAGAGTAGAAAGATAGCACTATTAATCCTTAATGAATAATGATTACTCATCTTAGTCATTAAACTGTTCGATTCACAGGAACAATCTAGTAACAGCTGATTCAGTTTTATTCAGATTATTATAGCTTCCGCGGGTATATAAATGTTTATTCGCTCGAAGGCGAGCTGCAAGCCTCCGGTACTCAAGCCGTGTGTACAGATCAGAGTAAATAGAATGGCAAGCTGTACGGAGCACAGCCTCGTTCTTGAGGATTAGGGCGGTGCAACACTATAAGTTTACAAGTACCGTATGAAACATGCGAATAAGCTGTGCTCCGCATTTGTTGTATGGTTAAGTGGAAAAATTGGGACACTGGAATTCAGCTCAACGTAACTAAGCAGGAGGATGGACTGGTCATAGAGGAACATTTAACAAACACAGATAGGACAGGCTCCTTGTTGAAAAATGGTCCATGTATAATCGTTGCTGAGTTATATCTATAGACGATAAAAAGTAGTCTACGAACGAACTTATGTTTGTCAGGGCCCGAAAAAGATGTGGGAAATCGTGTTTAAAAAAACGATAATTACAGAAGGGGAACAGTGAAATCCCGAGCTTAAAAATGCAAACTCATCATCATAATTATGCACGTTACCTAGAGGTAGGAAACACTTCAGCTACTGTGCCGCAATACATAGAAGATAAAAGGATAAAAAATGCAAACAGTGCAAACCGACTGAGCTACCGGTAACGGATGGGCATCGTTCCGATAAACTACCAGCCGGCTACTGTGCATAAATAAAATACTATGCAAAATTATATAAGGCTAAATAGTGAGATCCTGTTTGGAGGGGGAGCTAAGAGGGATGGGGTGGGACAGAGATACCCACAGGACGAACGCCACTGAGGTCGGCTTCTAGACATATCAGCAAGTATATCCAGCCAAACGTGTTCATCGTCTTTCGGACCCCAACCAGGGAGCCGAGACGCTCCAACTGAGGCCAGCTCCGAAGTGAAGGCCTTCATTCCTTCCGACCAAATCATCGCTTGGCCACCCCTCCTCTTCTTCCATCCACACACCCGGCGCGCAAACAACGCACGTCGCGGGAGTCGGTGGGCTGGCTTGCGTAACATTTGGCCGAGCCATCGGAGCCTAGTTCTTGAAATAACGGTGTTGAGCGGTTCAGTTCCTTTTCCTGTGCTGTAAACAATGCGTCGAACATGCTCGTTGCTCATGCGGTGTTCCCACCAGATGTGAGCTAAATTGCGAAGGCACCGGTGGTCGAACGTAACTAGCCTCTTCAGGTCCGCGGTTTTAAGGGGCCGAGTTTCACAACCGTACAGTAGGGTCGAACGTACCGCTGCATTGTACACTCTACCCTTCAGGGCGAGAGTAATGTCGCGCCGGCGCCATAGGTGGCGAAGGTTAGCAAAAGCGCCCCGAGCTTTTGCCATACGGTTCGTGATCTCACCCTCAATCCCACGGACGCTGATACAACTTCCCAGGTAGTTGAATTTTTGAACGACTTCTAGCTGATCCCCACCGAAGGTCAGCGTAGGAGGCGGTCCAGACCAATCTTGAAGGAACGCTTTGCACTTCGAGGATGCAAAGCAAAGACCGAAGTGACGGACAGCTAGTGCTAATCTGTGCAGTGCCGCTTGACACGTTTGTGAGCTGCCACAGATTAGAGCAATATCATCAGCATACTCTAAGTAAAGAAGTCGTTCTCCTGGGAGTAGGTCCAAACATTCTAAGTAGTGTGCTATGAACTCGATTCCCATTACTTCATGGATAGTGAAGTTGAAGAGGAAAGATGACAGCGGGCATCCTTGTGTCACACCGCTGGAGATATTAAAGGGCGAAGACAGCTTGCCGTAAGCCCTCACTCTGCCCGAGCTCCGCGCATATATGGCTCGGATAATATTTACATATTTCTCAGGTGCACCTTTCCTGAGTAGACAGTCCCAAAGTGCACATCTATCCACCGCATCGAATACACCTCTGATATCGAGGAACACGACAACGGTGGACCGCCAATATGTGTTACTGTGCTCCAACAACTGACGCCACAGATGCAAAATATGTTCGAAAATACACGATGAATCCACATATCTCCATGAGGCGATGGGAATACTTCCAAAACACCAGGAAATTCGCTTGCAAATGTTCATTTGCAACCATCACCGGAATAAGGACAATTAGGTATATATATATATATATATATATATATATATATATATATATATATATATATATATATATATATATATATGGCTGGAAGCATTTACAAAAGGACCGTGGTTGGCTTGCGTTGCAACATCCACAGCCCCATTCACACACCCATATCTAGTGTAAACTAGAGCGAATAAGACCGGTAGCATGAGGATAGGAGCCACGTTTCATCAGCGGAGCCAACTCAAAATCCTACAACAAGCTCATGGGCAACGTTCCAGTCAGCATACAAGGCGGTTGCTGGGCCGTAGCCCGTTTCATACTGAACGCATGGAACCATTCCTTTAGCCTAGCAAATTCTGAGGACGATGCACCCACTCCCCTCAGCGACGTCTAACTGTCTCCTGGAGACAGTAATAGAGGTGTAAGGTGTTAGAGAAGTAGGTACTTTTCAACATTCACATGAATTTCAGCCACCCGGGTGATACCAATCAACAACCAACACCTGAAATGCAGAAACTCAACATGCAGACACACGCACAGAACGACTGCAGCCATGATGTTGCACACGTACCATATCAACCGCCTGATTGACCTGAACTGGTAAAAGGAAGTGAACCAAGCGTTGAGCTAATGATAATTACATATTTAACTTACTCGTATTCACTTAGGTCTCGGTCCCGCGTGGCAACGCTGATGGTTTAATAAGCCAGCCTGGCTCGGACACTGGCGACCGCATGTGCTACAGTGCAACGCGCTCATCTTCGATCGGCTATCCAGCACTGGCACCTGTCGCTGCCTCAACAGTCATTTATTTCCCGCAAACAGTTATGATTTCTCATGAACTCGGGCAACCGCCTTCTTGATATGCTAACGCCATCGGCGCCGATCCACTGCCATCGCCTCCAAACACTTGAAACCAACGTTATTTCGTGACAAACTCAACTTCATTATGTCCTGGTTTCGCAACTTTGGGTTTCCCCCTTTCTGCTTTCATGCACGAAGTTGGCCATAATGTAGCTGTTTCGCTATCTGCGTCGAAGCCATGGGGAAAGAAGCACGAGCCAACC